GATTCTTTATGGGTAAAGGTAGATGATAAGCTGCTGACATGGGTCTATGAACCCACACTGGTACTTCTCCACAGAAAATTGCTGAGGGGTGTGAGGTATTTGCAGGGCAGAAGTATTTTGTTCATGGTGATGCTCAGTCATTCCATTATCTGTTGCATATTCTATGCACCCCACAGCTTTTCCCCGTCTTTTCTCCCCAAATGCAGCTATAGTAAACATGAAACTGCAGGCAGGGGGAAAGTGGTAGTCTAAGCAGGGCAACTCTGCCACTCTTTCTCCCTTGGAAATCATCTGCTTCCTCATGGAGAAACCATGTGGCTTATGGATAGACTCATGTTAGTCTTTATTCCCCTGCCCCCCAAATCTATTGATTTTGTAATATTTTTGTAGTAAGTTTATGTTGGTCCATGGTTCATAATCCTGTCTTGACTACTTGTTAAACTGGAGGTTTTATAAGGGTTTTTTTGGGTTTTTTAAAATGTCATTTAATTTTGTTGTTGTTGTATACTCATGTTATTCACCCAGATTACTGGCTTGACTACGAAATGAGCATGATTTAAATCTAAACAAACAAACAAATAATAAATAATTTTAATTCTTTATATCCACCTCCAAAATCTAATTCTACACAATTCTTTGTACTTTGTACTGAATTCTCAGCACTGTTACCAAGCTACATTTCTTTGAGATTTTGGGAAAGCCACTTTTAACAAACCAACTCATCTAATTTCAGCAGCTAAGGAGGGTTAGGCCTGCATTGAAGACCACCAGGGAATATATGAAATTTCTAGGAAGGGCACAGGAAAAAAAAACTAATGGAAACGTTGAAGAGTCACTGCCGTTGAGAGCACACATACCAGCCTGAAGAGACCAGTAATTGACTCAGTACGAGGCATCTTTTTATGATAGGCGAATGAACATAATTAGCACTACTGTTTACGCATTTTGTTAAGTTGCTAATACAAGGGATACAGAAAGGGGAAATTAGTGTCAAACTGTTGAAGTTTGGTGGCACAGCCACACCTCTCTCACCAGATCAATAGAAAACCCCATGATGTGTTTTTATTCTGTACAGTTTCATAGAATACTATGTTCCATATTGCTTCGTGTTCAAGAACTACAGAATCCCTGAGTAGAATGATGGCAGGTCTGACTTCAAAAAAGTCCTCAAAGTGCCTAAATTATGTTGGACTTTTATATACAACATGCCATGCTGTCTGCACCTTGAAAAACTGGGAGGGACTTTTCTGGGTCGGACTATTCAGCACTAACCAATTGTTATTTCCAGCTTTTTAAAGTCAAAGAGAGCCCCACCTTGCTGCTGAATGTTCTATTCCTCTCTTTCATCAGTTGGTAGCAGTTTGTTGTTGTTGTTGTTGATCTGTTTGGTTGGTTGCTAGTATGTGTGCAGTAAAGAAAGCAGTTTCCAGAAGTCTGTAATTTCAAGCAACTGTAAGTAACCTGTAAAGAAACATTTCTTATTCTTTTTCCTACAAATGTTTCATAGTAAGTTATTGAACTTTAAGTGCCAGTTTATGAGAAAGGGGTGGACTCTGGGGAACTTTGAAGTTATTCTCCTATGTGAATCTATGTGCATCTACTGTGCAACAAAAAGAGAATCTTACTAGAAATTCAAATCTGTGCAATGAATTATATATCACACACAACAACTTTGTAAAATTTGGCTTGATTTGAGCTAGACTCACTTGCTTGTCCTTCTGGCCATCAAGGGTATCCACAAAGATCTCCTCTAGCATCACATTTCAAAAGAAAGAACTTTTTTTTCCTGTCCACTTGCTCTACTGTCCAGCTTTCACACCCATATATGGTGATCAGAAATACAAGTGTGTATATGATCTTGGTCTTGATCTCCTTTGACACATCCTTATAGTTTATATATATTTTTCTAATTCCTTCATTTCGGACCTTCCAAGTCTCACTCTATAGCAAATCATTTGTCTTTCTATACACTGACCTAACGGTTGCTTCTTGTCCACAATATGTACAAGTTCCAGATTAGGACACTCAAGTGCTGAGGCACACCTGTTTCTTTCAGAACAACTCGTAGTTCCTCATGAGCTGACACAATCAACATCTTGGATGTAGTCTATAAAAACATAGACTGATCTTTTTTCTGAAATTCTTTGATGCTCTCCAGTAGCCAGTGGATATTTGCAATGTGAACTCAAGTACCTCTTCCTTTGGGAACACAATCTATTTCCCTGTTATATTGATTTCTGGATCCTTATGTATATGATTTATTAACTGACAGTAAATAGTTATAAGTATGATCCACGTTGATTTTGCAACGTTCTGCCTAATTTCAAATGGATTGTTGCTATGCTTATAAGGAGTCATTGGTTGTGTTAGAATGCTGGGTGTTGGAATGGGTTGTTACAACAATACCCATGCAGGTGTTTGCGGGGTGATAGTGCTGCCATTTTGGAGTCCCCATTCAGAATGATCTGCAGTCATTTCTTGCATCTGTGTATGCAATTGTGCTGGGCTATTTGTCATCTCTTAGTTTAACAGATGGAACGGTGCTGGGAGAATTATTTCTGTATTTCATTTTTTTCTCAGAAATGCTTTTTTTAAAAAAAGTGAATCTATCTTAATTTGTTAAGCATCTCACTTAGGATAGTGATGCCTTCGGAGGGTTTTCATTCCTGTGTTGCAGTTGGGCAGAACTATATGCCAGCAGGTTGCTTTTGGATCAGAAGGCTGCTTCATATCAGATATTTTGTCCTTTGAAGTGGATCCCACAGTACAAAATAACTAAATATCATCATGACAGCTGGAAAGGGTAGCCAGATTCTTAAAAACACAGATTCTGTGTTCAGTGACCAAGAAATCATGAGGGCATCTTGCTAACCAGTATTTTTGAAAGAGAAAGGACACCGTTTACGTAAGTGGATGAGGTTCGTTTTGCATCTCATGTGAAGTGTACAAATCTATTCCAGAGCATAACAAAATCTGACATGATACTTTCTATTGCTTATCTCAGCATTGTGTGTATGTGCCTAGACAGCCCTCTAGAACAGAGACGGGGAACGTGGGCCCTTCAAATTTTTGGACAATTCCCATGGTCCCTGTCATTGGCTCTACTCTTAGTGACTGAGGGAAGGTGTAGCAGAAACATTGGGAGCGATGGAGATTCCTGACCCTGATCTACAAAGTCTGCATTTTCTATTTCTCCAACTCTAAGCAGCTTTAAAATATTGTAATTTAATTGTATAGCACGTGGCAAAAAAGGAAACTTGTATGCAAAAGAATACGTACAATCAAATTATCGGCTTCCTGTAACTGAAACTAAAAAGCTAACGAACAAGAGCTTAAAACCCCCTTTGGGGCATTTTTAACAGTGGCTGTTACTTCTTAGCTTGCGCAGATAGTGCAGAGGCCATCGGTCTGAAAGACCAGCAGC